GAAAGAGAATTGCGCTTACGGCTCTCGGAGCTTTATCGATATCGCGAGAATGGTATCACGAGGCACGAGGAATGTGCTCATCTAGAACAGGTTCTCGCGCAAACTCAGAGGCAAAACGATACAACGGATTATTGGACAGAAAAAAAATCTGTAAGTATGAATTTCTATTTGCACAAACTTTTCATCTTATGATATAGGATGGGATGATTTTATTTTGTAATACACTTATACATACATACATATTCGTAAAAGCTAGTAAAACTCTAAAATATCATAAAAATATTACATGATATCTTGGTATATTTACTAAAAGCATGCTAAAATTGAATATATACTAATGTATGATATGTGAAATACAATTTTCACATAAAAGATAAAAATAAATAATCATATTTTTGTGTTTATTATTAACTATTATATTATTCATAGATTTTTGTGTACATTATTATGGCTACCTAAATATAATTGTATTAATGTACAAGTTTTTATATGTAAATATTTAACCCTTTTATTTGCATTTTATATATAAATATTTGGCTATAACATTTGTATTTTTATGTAATAAAACAAATTATATAGATCTCAATTTTATTATATTTTTTATTATTAATAAATATATACATTTTGTATTAAGGTTGATTTATATTGTGACATGATAAAATATTCTTCTATAATACATATTGCAACATGATAAAATATTCTTCTATAATACATATTCATTCACATTAAATTGGCAACAATATATAAAAACAAATATTTACAGATGATATTTATAGATTTCGTCATGTTACCATATAATATGAATCAATACTTAATATTGTATTTTTGTTCAAAATTATAATTGAATAATTTCAAATTAGAATTTGTATAATGGTACATGCAAAACATAATGTTATAATTTATATTGTATATATATTATTGCATACATAAATTACTACATTCTAAATTGTGATATAATGAAAAAATACTCTATATACAAAGAAAATTATGTAAAATAATTGCAATTATTTTTATACTTTGTCTTTGTCCTCTTTGTACATTTATATGTATATATAGTACAAATGAAAAAAGAAAAAATTCAGAGCCTTGACTGTATATTGTATATACTAGCTTTTGCTTCTTTTTAACTAATTCTATTGTTTGTGATGCGTGTTGCCAGGCATTTGTGAACAGATTGTATCAGTTTGCATTTCACTTAGGGCAGCAGTGGGCCGTTCACACCAATACACCGCAGCACCTCAAAAAGAAGGTAGATTTATATTCATAGAACTACATGTTATGTTTTGTGTAGAATTCAGAAATATTATTTTTATATCATCACACACATATACTATCTTCGTTTTGTGCTTATATTTTTTGAAAATTTTTATTTACTCCATAGTTTGTGTGTTTTCCTATTCAAATTATATACATTAAGAACAATAATATTGTCACAACATCTTAGATTATATTAAATTACTAAAATTCTTGACTTAACTACTTATCTATGTGTATCTTTTCATGCTTTAATAGAGAAGAAGAAAAAAGTTGCCCTTTCATCGACCGAAAATACACTATAAAGCAAGACTTGCCCAGCAACTCCACAATCAATCAAACCTATCACAATCGGACGACGATTCCAGCCAATCAGTGGGCGGAATCGGATAGCAATCCTGCTTCCAGTCAATCGATTTGCAGCCCCAGTTCTACTCAAGAAAGAAAACATTACAGTGCCGATACTGCTTGCACCCAAGAACGAAACATAGAATTGGAGGCTGCATCTCATCTTTTAACACAGCAAGAAAAATCCTTGTGTATTCAACTTGATCTAGAACCGACTGCATATTTGACGCAAAAAACGATGGTAATAGATGTAAGTATGTGGTGAATGCCAATTACATATATATAATCTTTCTTAATATTGTATGTGTAATTGTAATGTATTATCAATTAATATCGTTTCTCTAATGTTGTAGGCATATTTGGAAGGTAATAGGAGATTGAATGTTTTAACTCAGTCAGAACGGCAGAGCAAAATTCTCCATTATTTGGTAACTAACGGCTTGATTGCAGCTAATTGATTAAACAAATAAAGATTTGCGACATTATATTATTCTAAGTCATCTTTAATCTTGCAAGCTAAGTCCTAGATATAACTAGAGTTCGAGTCTGATAAATAATATGTAGGGCAGATAAGCAAAGAGAAAAAAAGAACATAAATGCTGTTGGTATTTGTTTCACAATGCTTTCACACAGCAAGATATTTCTATGCAATGTGCGGTTTATTAGATCGAATAAATAATCAGATGCGATCTATGATGTATTTAGCGTCTATGATAAATTTTGGCAATGCATTCAGAGCTGATTCTATGGTGATAAATTCTCACCAAGTGCTTAATTTCTCTGTTCTTTCTTCAGACCATATAATACTGGTTATAATACAGAGAATAATAGACAATTTAGTTAATCGCAAGAAACATTAACAGAATGTTTTGATCGAATCAATTCCTAGAATATATTTTACTTATCGTTTTCAGAATTTTATGAATGCTGTTTGAGAGAATCTCTTAACACTGCCTATGTAGAGCCATTGAACATGTTGCTCAATTAATTCTTCCATTATATTATTTCCATATACAGATAATGCTCACGAGCACTCTCTTTTCTATTTGTTTTAAATGTCAAATGACAACAATTTTTTTTTAATTGCAAATAAAAAAATTTTTTAATCATTGAATAGATTATATATAATTACATACAAATTATATAATTATGCCTTAATTCTATTTCATTATTATTATTATTATTATTATCATTATTTGGATAATATATATCATATATATCACATATATATCACAGTAAAAATATTAGTATACATATTGGATTAATCACAATTAATGATGTGATATATAAAAAGAACTTTTTTATTTCACAAAAAGCTTAAAGTAATAAATTGATTAATTCGTATAATTCATATAATTAAAATATTATTATAATATACATTTTTTATGTATGGTTTGAAAATTACATGTAAAGCATAGTTGTATAATTACCTGCAATTATATATGTAATCTATTCGGCGATTGACGATTGAAAAATTCTTTTACTTGTTAAAAAAAAATTTCTTATTGATGAAGAATGGTACAAATACTATAACATATGGAACATCGATAATATAGAATGCATGATATTAAATAATTTATCTGTCACTTTGTGTGGCATTTGTATATATGATGAAAGAGTGATACTTTCTTAGTGATAATATATTGTAAAGCACAAAGAATTATACAATTCCATGGTATATGAAATGACATCATTATCATTAAAATTTAAAACTAAATTCGCAATATATAGCAAAGAAAAAAAAAAACATTTAAAAGAGAGATTTGAGAGCATAATTATTTTCCGCCACTTTTAGTATAGAAACCAAAATGTACGAAAATGTTCCTTCAAGAATGATTATCACTTAATTACATGTAGGCATATGCTAAATTTTGCAATATACACCAAAATTGTCTCCATAAGAAGCCATTCATTGAAATATTTCTTCTAAGCGATATATGCAATGGATATCTTCACATAAATCACATATAATCAAAAGTTATTTTAACCTAACAGATTTAAAATATTATTAGGAAAATTTTGAAAGATGAAAATCCTGATATGAAACCGTCGAAATCGTGATAGATTTTGAATAGAAAACGATTAAAATTTAAGAATCAGAAAATTGGCATTTTGCATACTCAAGCAAAATATATGTTAATGGCTTCCATGAATCAAATTCTTTTTGATGACATTGAAATGTAAATATCCAATGAGATTTCCATCATATTTGTCCGCTTCGTATAATAATATCGATTAAATATAGTTTTTTTAAATAAAATTCATTAATTAAATGTTAAACCTTTATAAATAATATATTTTTATCGTATTTTATCAACATATACTTTGTTGCAGTTATTAATTATCGATATAATTTAAATGTGTAAAATGTAAATAATTTATGTGTATATATTTAGTAATTCATCGATCGCGCGATATTATGATACGAAACAAATAAACTTAGTTTGCATATTTAGAGAAATTTCTCGTCGAATATGTATATACAAAGTGCCAAAAGTTCCTGACGCTATTCAAATCGTCTATAGTTGCGTCTACTATTAGAAAAGGTAATATATATCTATGATGTATCAGTGTATTGATTGGCAAGATAGGAACATGCGTTTCTTTTTTACATGCATTTTTGTAAGTTCATTTCACATGTGTCGTTTGCAATTTCGAAATGACAAATTTTCACGAGCAAAGAATGTGCATCAAGTTTTGCTTCAAAGAAGGAAAACTTGCCTCGGCAAGAAGGCTACAGAAACTCATAAAATGCTTAAACAAGCATTGTGTAAAACTTGATGAACGCTTTGTTCGTGAAAATCTGCCATTTCAAAATGGCAAATGATATGTGTGATATACTTATGAAAATGCACATAACAAAGAAACGTATTCACATCACCTTGTTAGCCGGTACACTAATGTCTGATAGTCTGATGACTGCATTGATGCATTATAGATGAATGATGAATGCTGTTTTTCCTAGCGGCAGATGCCGATACTACAAGCGGTTTGAGCTGTGGAACGTCGGGAACTTTTGGAACCTCTTTTCTCGGATATGTTTATTATTCCTCTTGAAGATATACAAATTTTTCTATTTTCTATTATTCTGTATTACATCATATTTGCATCTTATTTCTTCTTATCCCAAATCTTTACAACATTCACCCATCACTTCTACACATACCCATTTAGCACAGAACGTTGTAACAACATTGCAGCAACATTGTAACAACATTGCGGCAATGTTGCAAATGTTGCTGCAATGTTCTGTGCTGTATGGGTATATTCGTACTTCCTTGTTTCATTGAACATGATAATATGTATATAGATTTAAATACATGATAAAGTGTATAAGTTTTAATGCTGTAGATATAAAAAGAGCCTATGTATCTGTACATAATGACACGCATAAAAAGACCTACTCAGGTTTAAGTAGATAGACAAAGTCTATTTCCAGATCTTTCATCGAGAGAAGCATTCACACGTATAATTTGCGATGCACGACGTTTATATTTTGTATAGATAATAAACAAATACCTCCTTTCGTTTACCCGATTGTTTGGCGATGCGTATTTAATTATATTAATGACTGCTTCCTCTCACAAACATACATATAATCGAGATCAATGATTAAAAATCTCGTCCTTGCGATATGTGTATAAAAACGTCGATATATTTTAGTCTTACATCATGCGTCAATACATCGAAATTCCAAAATAATTCTCACATAAATAATTGTAGTCGGATAAATAATGACACATGGATATAAAGTACAGCTCCAGTCACAATAATTTATCTATATAACATTTGACACGAGTGTTATTATTATATGCATTATTTTCTCAATATAAAGCAACAAAACAATTATACAACATTACAGATTATAATGTACTCCGACATGGATATTCATCGAATGTGCAAAATAAATTGTGCGATATTTTCGTTTAAAAAACGTATATAATTTGTATGCAGCGCTGTACCTTTATATTTTTCATTGATTTCTTAGAAACAAATGCAGTTAATATTGATGATGACGGCAGAATTATGCAGAGACAATTTCATGCAAAATGATAATTATGTGCTATAATTACTTAATAGAAAATTATTTTGTTTACTCCTAAACGCGTGTTACTCCTAATCGAGAGTTTACCAAGATCACGATTGATTAATAGCTGTCATAGAAGTTTATTATGGACGATTTGCAACTTTTTTCTAATACAACAACAAAAATAGATAAGAATACTGAAAAATCATAAAATTTCCAAATACGGAAAATGAGATGAAAAAAATAGAATGAATATTTTCTGATACCACAAAGTGCATATACACAAGTAAATGAAATTCTAATTAAAAATCATTATCCCGAAAAGTCGATATAGAGAAATGTTCTGAGAAACAATTTTTTTCTAAAATATTCGAGAAAATTTTCATCATCAATTTTTGGTAATAAGCTTTTTGTCGAAATGTCAATAAATTATTCACTTAATATATAGCTAAAGTACTGAAAAATTATTAATTTTATAATTGGATTTTACCATGATATCGTATATAATTATTTCCTTTTACCCAAAATTATTATGTATATATAAAATAATTTGTATCAAGTTATATAATAAGAAAAAGAATTATTTTAGATACTTGAAAAAGAATTATTTTTAAATACTCTCTTCGTGTAAATTTCTTTCAGTATGCAAATATTATATAATTATTCAATGGAATATTTTGTAAAAAAAAGTGTACAGACATTAAAAATGAAGAATAGGTTTAGATACTTTTTTAAATAGTCTGCTTCATGCAAATGCGACTGGAGATTGCACTCGCGGATAATAAATTTTAAATTCCGAAAAAAAAGATCCGTTCTTTTTGACACTTAAGTCGAGTTTCGAATTATACATATAAATTGGAAATAGCGAAAATACGTGTTAGCTGGATAGCTTTTTCTACCTAAGAAGCGTATCTAAGAACAACAATGGGATTTTATTAATCATTCTTTGTCGTTGAGCTCTCCACCTTTATTGCGAGAAAAGAAAAATGAAGACCACAACGTGTCTCATTAAAGCCGACGACGCATAGTTTTCTACGACAAGTACGAAGGTGAAGTCGCGAGCCGATGACGAGAGGGATTTCATGGAATAAATCGGTATCTTTTCCATCCTTCCACTCTCGCGGCTGTGCAACGTATATAAAGTCGAATGACGGGAATATATCCGTACACAATTACATCCGATTGCGAATAATACGTCTTAGGTGAGCATTTATTATACAACAATTACGACGCGATGTTCTCTTAAGAATTGGAAGTAGTCATATGAATGGATCAACTGTCAAATAATTTTTCAACTTTCGAATTCTTGTTACCAAAAATATAGTAGAATATGTGTGTAAATATATTATATTAGAATAGAATTCTATTAGCAAAACAGAGAGCTGTCATAAAGGAAAAAGGATTATTTTACTTTTAGTTCAATATACGTTATTGCGGAGTTTTAATTTCTACTTCTAAAATGACCTCGTATTTGAAAAATTACATTTTGGAGTAGATTATTTACTGCATAATTACGTCCAATTCGGATACAAATGTCACGCGATTATTTAATACATCTCCGAGCGATTTCTTCCGATTCATTGTGCATCGCGTTATGCATATTACGTGTTTTATGAATCAATATAATTGATGCCACATTTGATTTTCGAAGACGCGCCGAATCAAACTTAGAATAAAATTCTATTTTTTAATTGAAAAGTGAATACACCTCATTGATATTCATCAAATATTTCGAAGGAAAATGTGTAATAAATGTTAATATAATAAATATAAGTATAAGTATATAAGTATAATAAATTAATTTTAACTTTTTTAATTAAAAATTGATTTTTTCTCCAATTTTAATTAAAAGTTATTTTCTCTCTTAATTTGCTCAGAGACAGACATTATAATAAATTATGATATATATATTAGCTACTGTCTATATGTCTATTAATTATTAACATTTTACAAGACTACTCTGTTGTATATTTCTTGCGAATTGAGATGCGTGCACGTGTATTATAGATTTTTTAATATTCCGATACCATAACTGCGATACAAAAATAGTTTTTTTAAACTTTTGTCGAATAAAAATTTTATTAAACACGTGTCTAATTAAATTTTTTTTGTAGCCATGAAGTTTATACTGGTATGTTTGTTCGCTATTAGCGCTACAGTCTATGTAAATGGTCGGCCGGAAGAACATTATAACGACAAATTTGACAATGTAGATATAGACCAAATTCTACAAAATGATCGATTATTGAAGCGATACATAGACTGTTTGCTGGACAAGCCCAATGTCCGATGCCCTGCTGAAGCTGTTGAATTAAAAAGCGAGTATTATGCATATATATTATACATGACAGAGAATTGCAATTATATAACGCAGCGCGTCTAGATAAGAATATCCATTTCACTAAATAAAATTAAATTGTCAAATTATATTAATTTACTCAATGTAGTTCAAATTTTTTAAATGAACTACTCATAAAAATTAAATATTTTTTATCATCTATTTTCATCAAGTAACGTGCAGAAAATGAGAATACATATCGAAAAGTAAGGCCCTTAAATGCGTTAAATCGTAATAACTCTTTTTAAAAATTTATCTTATCTAGCAAAACATAGAAAAAAAAAATTTGATAACATTAAGACAATATTAAGTTAAAACAAGTGACGATCCATTTACTTTGTTAGTTTGCAATAGAAGACCTTGTATTTCTTAGAGAAGCAAAGAACTTTGTAACTTGTAATGTGCGCATAAGACATGTGAGATATGTTAATAGAATTCTACTTGCGAAATATGGAAATTTATCTTTTTGTCGATCTTATGAAATACGTGTTTCCTCAGCATGAATTTAATTGATTGCTAAATAATGCAAGTCTTAATGGAAATTCAATCCGTTTAAAAGTATATTCTTAATAATGTAAACTAGTATCTTTAGCGATTATTCGTTCGTTTCAATATACGATACGACGAAATTAATTTTGATGCTTTCAAATCGACGTTAAAATACCGATATATTTTTAATATTGTTAAATCAATAATAATCATTTAATTCCTATTGCAGAAGTCTTATCTGAAGCATTAGAAACTGAATGTGCGAAGTGCTCGGATCGACAGAACGAAATTGCGAAAAAGGCGACAGAATTTTTAATAAATAACAAAAGAGATATGTGGAACGAACTGAAGGCTAAGTACGATCCGGAAAATAAATACGCGAAGAAATATGAAGATCGAGCCTTAAAGAAAGAGACAGTCTGAACAGAAATCAAAGAGAAGAGAAATGGAGGAATATATAAATAATATATGTGCAACGCTAATTGCCTTATCGTCCTTCTAGGCGCAACTTGATCCAATTAATATGTAACATGCGTATTCGCTGCATGCAAATAAATTATCAGTCGTAATATATATGCGTCATACATAATATATTCCGCGTGACTCAATCGCAGAATCCTCTTAGCGTTTTTCATATTTGAATCTTGGTCGTATATCTTTACACACGTGGAAGAGATTTCAATGTAAAAACAGTTGTCATCGAGTGGAAGATTCCCGCCTAAGGCAAAAAATGTCTTCCGACAAACGCTAATTCCATCGCGTGACTAGAAAAACGGTTACAAATCAACTTTTTATTATCGATAAATCTCTCCATCCTTGTTCAAATATTACTACACAGTTGTTTTAGAGATATATACTGTTGAAAAGTTTATAAGTAGTTATATGCACTCATTAAAAAATATGATGGAATCAACATTTATCGGAAGAAACTTTTTATCTCATGTAGGAATCTTCCGCTCGATGATGGTTGTCTTTACATTAAAGTCTCTTCCATGTATATAAAGTATTATCTATTTAATTATATGTCAAGATTCATGGCTAATAATAGAAATATATATTTATCTAAGGATGCACAGCCTGTTTACAAAAAGAAAGTACTCGGGCCCCGTATCAAGCGAGCAAAGCGCATTCGTGAGATCGTATTAATCCCTATCTATATTAATATTTCTCTATCGGAACATCTGTATCGTCGTCTGTCGTCTCGCCGATGTCGGTGCAGGCATAGCAGAATTCGCCGACGTCTTTCCAACACTCGGAGCAATGGACGAAGGAACACCCCGGTGTCGTACATCTGCGAAATTGCGGACCTTTTCTCGATTCCGCTTCGCCGCAAACGAGACACTTGAGACGCGCCCGGGCGAATAACGCTAGCCAACCGCAGAGCATTGGCCAACGCAGTCTCACAGCGATCCATGGATCCATGTCGTATTCTAGCTGACGAGTCCTGACCAGAGCTCTAATTTTGGCTCGCATAAATCTAGCATCAAAAACAGATTTAATATGTATATATATATATATATTCAAAGATATATTCTTAAGCACTTTTTTCTTGTAAAAGGAACTATCTTGGACTATTCAATCGGCATCCGATTTTATTCCGGAAGCACCGCTTTTGTTGCTCGAAATAGTCGAAGAGAATTCGGAGCTATCGCAGTCGCGTCTATTCCGAATCTTAACTCGCGTGACACTTGAGATGCCGTATCTTTACCTGGCGTGTCCAAGTCTACGTCGCAGGCTTTCGTTATAGAGATACAGCACGCGCCTCTTCTCGCGCTTTCTATAGAAGAACGAGCAGATTACGCGCCGCAGACGCTGGGTGTAAGCGGCAGTGAATAGCAATAGCCAAATGCCGAGATAGGTCAAATAGATCTTGAGGATCATGCGATCCGGTACTCTGCTGGGCCTCGGTAAACATGCGCTATTGGACACCACGGTTTTCACTCGTCTCTTTACATTGAATCCACGAATAACGCGACGTATCAGCGAAGCTATCACTCCGATTCCGCGAACCTCCAAAACTATGTCATGATGACCCGCCTAGGAGAAATTAAAATTAAAGTTTAAAAAATCAGAACAGAAAAAATAAATTATATTATATAACGCTTTAGGAAAAATCTAGTGTTAATTTCTATCCATTTTGCATATGCTACCCGATTGCTTAAAGACCCCTGATCCTGCCGCTGTAACTGTATTGAATTATGATATCGAAAGAGAAAAACCATACGAATTTGTTATACTACATATCAAAATAAATTAATTAAGATTCTTTTGCATAAGATCCGTAGATGAAAGATAAACGATAAACTCGTAGGATTTGTGGTAGACACGCTTTGAAAAAATCTCTGGATTGAATTCGAAAAATCTGAAAATTGCGAGAATGGTTAAATCGAACAATGTAAACTAAGAACCTGAGTATATTCCATATAAGTGTGTCTTCTGACCAAATCGAGCACCTCGAAAAACAGTCTGTCGAGCAATATAAACGTCGTCACGGTGATCGTTTCGAGTATCAACTTCACCGTTTGACCGGTCAAATTCACTCGCTCGATCTTGCTCGGACGCAGGCTATACGGATCCACGAACTTCGATCTCTCAATCTTCTTCAAGGGAAGCAGGACCAAACTGCCGCGTGCCTTCCGTCTTGCGTCAATTTTTCGAAAGTACGAAGTTACGTACACATTATCGTGCTCGATCTCGTTGAGATATTTATCGTGGTATGTCTGAGCGTTCATGATGATTCTCAAGAAAACGAAGGACAAGCATCTGGATTATTATGTGAAATATATTTTGTCCTTACATAAACAAATCTTGCCGGAAACAATTTTGTATCTAAAGAAACAATTGTACGATTCCGTTAAAAAAGAAGATAAATAACAAAAACTTTATACAACATAGATTACACACACACACACACACACTTTGATCTTGACATGTGTTGCAAAGAATCTATTTGTAAGTAATATGCGCGTGGAATTAGACGGCGCTCTCCTACAGTTCCTAAAATATTTTATATATTCCCCCAATGTGTAATAAAAATTACTGAACTTTAAAATATCTCAAAAACTATGAGAAAATACCGGCTTTTATTCCAAATGTTACTTAAGAATGAATTCTCTGTAACATACATATATGTCGAAGTCAAGGTATAATTCGTATTGTGTAAGTTTTTATAAAGAATTACCAAAAAGAGTGATCTTCATTAAACCAGGCAAAATCTTTTTTTCTAATTTCGCTTTAAAAAGAATTACAACTAAAAGTTTGAATTTAGATTCATCTCGCCGTAGTTTCGCCGTACCTCTTGATAATCATCATCACCGATTCCAAAATCTTCCTGCGTGAGTTGAATTCGTGCATCACGGCCTGAGCAGCATCCGTGGCGTCATGAAGATCAAGGATTACTGGCATCTTCTTCATTTTGTACTGCAGTTTTGCCTCCTTCAGACTCTTGCTGAATGTATCCCTGGCTCCTTCGCAAAGAGGCGACAGTGTCTCGCGAAAACACCGCGAAAAAAAATGTCACAATACGTTATATAATTTCTAAACTTTTATCAATGGGCAATTGAATGACATTTATTCACTTTTTAAAGCAACATAGCCTTCGCCGATGCCGGAGTCCACTTTCCCCTCGGGATCGCAGATGTTAGAGCCACCGAGTGCCTGCACCAGGTTGCACACAAAGGTGAGCTTCATCGGCCAGCACAGCAGCCAGGCCGCGAAGACTGTCACCGTGTCATAACACTTGTCGTAAGCGTCGCCAAACATATCTCTAAAAAATCGCACATCAATTTTATTAAAATTAATGCAAGGTAAAAATATAAAAAAAACGTCAAATCGAAAAAAAAAGAAAGAAATGTGTTTAATCCGAATCAATAAAGCAATATTCTGTATGTTCACAATCTAAAGAATTTAATAACGATAATATTTCTGCTGCGGACAATTACAAAGAATCGAGTAGATGCACGCCACCCTTGTAATTCAAAAATATTTTTCTCGAAAATTACGCAATCGATTATAAGAATTTATTCTACGTATTCTGTCTTCAATCGGTTTTCACGAATCATCACTGGTATTGTACCGTAATTGGTATCATTAATACTATTTATTGAATCTGTGTAGAATTGTCAATTCTTTGGCATTTAAACTGAACACACAAAGACTTCTCGAATACTTTGACTGACGATTGTCTCGATGTTATTTAGATTAATTCTATATGAGAAAAGAGAAAGAATGCCTCGCCTGCATCGCTCGGCACCGCGGCTAAGCTGTTCTTCACATCGCGTCTCGATCTTCTTCTTGTACTTTGCCTCGTAAACATCCGCCTCAGACTTTGCCTTCGCCATCTCTTTCTCATGTTTCTCCTCGATCTCGTCACTTCGTTTCGTATCGTCCTGAAGCTCGTCCAGATAGTCATTCTCTTCTTTCAACCTCCTCATCTCCTCTTCCCCTTCGATTTCCTCGACTATCGGACCCATCAAATCCCTCACCGAAGATAAAGTATCTTTCAATTCGCTCGCATCCGCTTGCATGGCGAGCACCGCCTACGTATCATTGGACGTATAGTCATTTTCGCGCAAAATTGTCATTTGCGTATAAACAATTGTGTTTCTTTTAAAATATAAATTGCGCTTATTACAATATATTGTATTATTTTAATGAGTGGATGTATTCATATATTTACCTGCTGGAAAGGCTTAAACATGAGATCAAAACGCGTTTGGGTGAGATTGTACGTCAACTGCGTCGTACAAGCAAAAGTTCTCATCACCTCTTTGCCATTATACATTAAATTGAATATCGGTCCTGCAATTAGGTATCCTAGGACAAACGCCCTTAAAACGTTACGGCCGGATCGACCGAGGAAGGTCGGGATTGTCAAAAGGCAGATACATCTCACCTATTTGAAGCAATAACTTTAATGCCGATCATTCTTTAAGCTTTTATATCAATAACGAATGACAAAGTTTATCGTTAAACATTTTATATATCCTCGTATGCTTAATCGAGAAGATTAACGTTACACATGACGTTTTGCCATCACATTACGAATGCAATTGATAGATTCTTTCATCAAATTAATTTATTCTCGGCAGAAATATCGAAAGACATTATTTGACGAAATCATATATAAATTGCTTATTATTTGTTATATCGTGTCATTATTAGCAACGGCTACATTAAATGAATAGGCTTTATATAGAATTCATGCTGTGTGCCTAATAATAAAGATACACAATATATGATCGATACAGTAATACAACCGTAAATTTTTGAGAAGAAAAATATCTCTCGCGCAATAAGAAAGAATCATTATTATTACCTGAACTGCGATAAAATCAAAGTAAAACGATATGAGAAAATATCTCCGCGAAGAACGTAAAATCGAGTGAAGTAAGAAAAAGAGATTACCTGTATCGATGATGCGCATCCTATTGATAACATCACAACGAGGATGGCTCCCAGAGAGATGCTGGTATACGCGTCAAACTGTAGATCGACGATTATGCCCTCGTATAGCACGACAGCTGCAAGAAATCCGAAGAGAAATCCGATGAAGGCCCTCGCTTTTCGATGAGTGCCGATCGGATCGTAGCAAATGTGAAACAGGGTCGGGCATTTTTTCAGATAATATTTCAGAAAATCCCTCCGCGTTCTCTCGATCAGACGGCCGCAGCGATTAATCCGCTCCAAGCCGGGCATTTCCTCTCTTTTTGCGAAATTGAAAATCCTCGCTGATAAGCTACTTTGTAGCGGATTATGAAATGCGAAACTTTTGAGTTGGTCTCTGAAATGAGACAAATGTCGAATGTAGAGTCGATTTTAGTTGCGAATTTTCTAAACTCTCGTATACTATGAGATACGCATTGGGAATGTAGATATATTCATCAATCGTTTTAATTATCGATCGTTACGTATCCGTTAATTTAGAATTTTTATCAAAGTATGGATGAAAAAAAAAAGGTTTAGAATCTTTCAAATTAAGCAAAAATTAATACATTTTATTCACGAGAGACTATGATTGCGTAATTCAAATATATGTAATGATTATTATTGTCAAGACCATAATAGCGATTATATAAGAAGATTTATATCAACATTTAGATACGATATATGGCGAAGCATGATACGGCAATACAATTACTAGCACTTTATAACAAGGACGAAATACATTTGTCGGCGAAGAATTTAAATTTACAAATTAAAGAAGTCTTCTTACGGAAATAGATAACGAGAGACACTGAAACAATCATATCCTTTACGCAAGCTACTTATCTAAAAGTCGAGGTCACGTAATACATCGCCTATGGAATACTTGAAAAGAGTTGAGGTACAAGAATTTTTTCCACGTAAGGCATATAAATTCCTTTCTTGCTTGCTACGCAACTTATCTGCTTATTCATATATACATGTTTTTGTGTACTTGACACGAATACAATGATCGTTGTATCATTATTCAACGGGACGGTGTTAATCTTTTACATTCATGATATTATCAATATATACAATATTATTTAATACAATTATTACATTTTACCGTCAAACATCTCTTAACATTTGCAATAATTTATTTTTATTTTAATATATAAGAAATATTTTTCTCTACATATATGTTAATAAGTCTTTTTATATCAAATTTAACGATAATTAATATTACTTTGCGATGCAAAAATTAAAAAATAATTATTTGCGTTTTGATAACATATACAAAGTCTGTAATATATATCAAATTTTTAATATTACCCATATACAATAATAATAACCTATAATAATCTGAATAACAATATTAAAACAGCTTTGGTCATATTAGTAATTCGTAATAAAAAAAATTTTAGCATGGGAATTTCTACGTTCAGAGTACAGTCTGCTGTTCGACACAGGAAACGACTACGTCGCGCATGTTTTTCTCGATAAATTATGGCGAGGATATGTGCACGAGGATGATTTCGTGCGACTAACGAACCGTGTCCAAGTCTTCCTTATAAGACATTGGAACTAATGAGGCTTCATGAACAGTGAATCGGGAGCAACGCATCAATCTCGTTCGCCACGATGAGGTATCTAGTCGTCGCTCTTATCATTGCGTGCGCCCTTTCGTCCTCCGTCGTTCACGCAGAGGAGGTGCAGTATACTACGAAATACGACAATATAGATGTGGATGCTGTGATAAATAGCGAGAGGCTGTTGAATGGATACGTGGGTTGTCTGCTCGATCGGACTCCCTGCACCCCAGATGCGGCGGAACTCAAAAGTAGGTGTTTTGCGCGAAGAGCGTTTTCCTATAATCTTCTCCTCTATAAACCTGGCTATAATCGTTTAAATTGCGAATAGCGTAATATAATCGAGACTTTTTTTTAATATTCTTAGAGCAGATATCTTTGCACTCTGGATATAGAAATTTTCATATTAATTTTTTCATTGCAGCTTATTAAAAATATGGATAAGATTATTTTAATATTTTTATTCAGATTATTCTAGATTTTATTACTGTAGATAAAATTAAAAATTTTATATATTATATTATATGATAGACTTTGTATGTGCTAGAAAAAGAATGCGCAGATAATTATTTTTTATTCTTTGCATCGAGAATTTTTGCCGTAATAATTCTGATTAAATTTAAAAAATAGAAAGACTTATAATATATTTAGAAAAATATTTCTTATATTAAAATGAAAAGAATTTATTGAAGATGTTAAAAAACGAGAAGAGAGAGAGATGTAAAAAATAAAATGTGATAATTGCATTATATAATATGCACTTCCTTAAAGAAAATCTGCCGGACGCGTTGGAGCATGACTGCGCCGGATGCAGCGAGATGCAAAAGAACGCGGCCGACAAAATCTCTCATCATCTGATCGACAACAAGCCGGACGACTGGAAACTTTTGGAGGACAAGTATGATCCTACTGGAGCATATAGACGGCGTTATTTAGAGAACAAGTCTCATGAAGGAGACAGATTGGATTGAAATCGTTTCCTCGCGTCGTAAGGACCGTGATCTTTAATGCCGACCACGGCTATCCTCTGGACTTGATTGTTTATCGTAATCCTTGTCACACAACAGTTCCACTTTATATAACGATCGCGAAAGATCCAATCTTTTGCGTTACATCACCTTTCAGCAGTTTCCCTATAACACAAAAAAATCATTAAAAAGATATCCAGTTTTTACATTTCTTGCATTTTTTAGATTTTCCAATCAAAACACGTACAAGTTTATATATATATGGATAAATATATTTCTACTTTACTATTTGTATACTTGCTATAAATATTCAATTGAATAACGGTAATCCTATAATACTTCATAAATAACGAAAAATCTTTTTATGACCTCTTTTATCTACATTATTTAGTTAAATCACCAATGCGTGTATAAATAATTTATTAGAATGTATTATTATTTCGATATTGACAATATATGGGCAAGGATTCGCCAATATGTTTCTCATGCAGATTTATTAATTCATAAAACTATCGTAATATTAGAATACTACATAGAGAATATAGAGAAAAAAAAACTGACGCTTATTAGTGACTATTATTTTTAGTGACGCGCAATATTAAATAATTTATTATAATTGATTTTCTGTAATTTTGCACCTATATATGTATAGAGATAGATATAAAGACCAATTTAGACATAATTGTTCTTGCATCACGAGAAAAAAAAGATTTTTGCGATGTTGGCATATATATATATATATACAATATAGTAAATAAAAAGAAAACAGAAAAGAAAAAATAGATGTTTATTAAATGTGTATATATATGTATATATATAATACACATATATAAATTTTAGTGATTATATTATTTGTCATTTTGCGCGATTTGTTTCCTCTCTTTGCTATCTGCTCGTTTATAAACTTATAATTTTACTTTGTTAAAAAGGAGAACAAGTTTTTATGTTATTTACTTATTATATTTCATATATTAAAATAATTTTTAAAATATTTTTTACCGACTACATA